CTTCTCCTTCTTCTCCTCCTTCTCCTTCTTCTCCTTCTTCTTCTTCTGCCTGTGGAGGTACCAGCCCCTTTCCCACCCCCCAGTCCACTTTGGATAACACCTATTTCCAGAGTGGATGGAACAGTGGTGAGGCCATGCACAGAATAGTTCCACCTCCCTATCTAGGTCCAGAATTTACCTTTTCCTTGCTAGAAGTCCTGGGGAGTTTCGTTTGGCTCACAACTGCCACGTGGTCGGAGTCTGCCTCTGTCGGCAATCCCATCCGTTTCCTCACGGTATTCTTAGGCTCCGCGGCGGAAGCCTGAAATGAGAAAGAGACCGCCCGCGTCTCTACAGAATGTGGAAGTCCAGGATAGATGCCCTCTATTTACAGCTTGCAGAAGGAAAAAAAAAACCCCACCCAACATACCTCACTTTTTAACCCAGAGAGGGGCTTTCAAGACTCTTTTCGTAATTAATTGAAATGTAAAACCAATGAGGATGACTTTTAAAACATTAACTTATGGCAGCCTTAACGATACAAAAACTTCAGTTGCTGCCATCTGAATCCGTGGGGACACTTTTGTCTCCCTTCCTGCTGTTGTCTTCCCTGTTGCCGATTTTATACTGTAAGCTCTTCTGGGGCAGGGACCCTTTCTCCCCCTCCTTACAAAACTCTGTAAAGCATCATGGAGGGCTCTGTGACGAAGGAATGCCAGGTTATATTGCAAAAGATTCCATTCAACTTCACAAACTCATCACCAGAAAACTACAATGAAAAAGTCGTTGCAATATGGTATCCTGTTATAAGCTTTATGTTGGGGGAAAGAGATTGTACCAGATAGTCCAAAATATCAGAAAACGGTTTATTTCTGAATGTATGTTTAAGTTTATTTGAATTGGAATGTACGAAAGATATTATTTTAGACTTTAAGACGGTATGTATGCACGAAGCAATACTGAATCTTGTTGATTTGCAATTTTATGCTGTAAAATCTGAAAATTGTTAAGGAAGGAAGAAAGGAAGGGAAAGGAACAGAGGAAGGAAGGAAGGGAGGGAGGGAGGGAGGGAGGGAGGGAGGAAGGAAGGAAGGAAGGAAGGAAGGAAGGAAGGAAGGAAGGAAGGAAGGAAGGAAGGAAGGCAGGCAGGCCAGGTCAGGGAATGTTGTCTTTGGTGGACAGTGCTGTCAAGGTATACCCAACTTGACCCCATAGGGTTTTCAAGGCAAGGGACGAACAGAGCTGGTCTGCCATGGCCTGCCTCTGCATAGCAACCCTGGACTCCCTTGGTAGTCTCCCATCCAAGTGCGAACCAGGGATAACCCTGCTTAGTTTCTGAGATCTGATGAAATTGGTCTAGTTTGGGCCATCCAGGACAGGGCAAAAGACATACAGAGGTGGTTTGCCATCGCCTGCCTCTGCATAGCAACCCTGGACTCCCTTGGTAGTCTCCCATCCAAGTGCGAACCAGGGATAACCCTGCTTAGTTTCTGAGATCTGATGAAATTGGTCTAGTTTGGGCCATCCAGGACAGGGCAAAAGACATACAGAGGTGGTTTGCCATCGCCTGCCTCTGCGTAGCAACCCTTCGACTTCCCGTTGACGTACCAGCCAGGGTCTACTCTGCTTAGCTTCCCAGACTGGACAAAGGATCCAGCTCGCCTGGGCCATCTAGGTCAGAGGGCTGTCTGTCTAGGGAGGAAAAAGAGTTTCCTGGAGCGCCTTGGTGAGGGGTAGGTTTGCCAACAGAAAACTGGAAAAACAGAACGTCCTGCCCCTATAATAGTGGATTAATGGGTCAAAATGGGCAGTTGAAGCTTTTCATGAGGCAGAGGGATGTAACATCGCCTGGTGAATAACTTCTCTCAAAGCTTCTGTTAAGTTGGAAGGACATTTCCTCCTCAGCCAGTTGGCAACCCTAGACTTTGGTGGTTCCCTTGAGAGAGAGGGCCTGTGTGGGAGATAGCAGGGGTCATTTCCTGCAGGAGCGCACAGGAGCGGAGCTCTGGCAGTAAAGAGCCCAGAGGGCGGGCACATGCAACAAGCCCCACCCCCTGCTCCCAGCAGCCCTCAGTCAGAGCGAGAAGCAGCCAGGTAAGCTGCAGAGACCCCCCCTAGCCCCCAGGTTCAAAACAGTCCAGTGGCACCTTTAAGGCCATGGTTTATTCAGGTACAAGCTCTCCTTCCTCTGCGAGGACAGATCTGCACATTCCCCTCCTCCAGCTAGCAATCCAAAACAGTCCAGTGGAGCCTGAGCGGTGGGTGTTACCATCTGACACACTTCCGGTGATGTCAGGGGGTGTGGCGTATGCAAATAGGTTATGCTAATAAGTTATGCTAATGAGCTCCTGCACCTCTTTTTCTACTAAATGACCCCTGGGAGATAGTAAGGATACCCTGGGATGGGTAAGCTGCAGAGACCCCCCCTAGCCCCCCGGTTCAAAACAGTCCAGTGGCACCTTTAAGGCCATGGTTTATTCAGGTACAAGCTCTCCTTCCTCTGCGAGGACAGATCTGCACATTCCCCCCCCCCCTGCAATAGCTAGCAATCCAAAACAGTCCAGTGGAGCCTGAGCGGTGGGTGTTGCCTTCTGACACAGTTCCGGTGATGTCAGGGGGCGTGGCGTATGCAAATAGGTTGTGCTAATGAGTTATGCTAATGAGCTCCTGCACCTCTTTTTCTACTAAATGACCCCTGGGAGATAGTAAGGATACCCTGGGACGGACATCTGAGGAGTCCTCCGAGAAGGCACCGGAGACAGAGTCCTACTGCAAATGTCGCCATTTTATCAAGTATGCCCCTCAACCCCATGTGTTTCTCTACCCTTGACCTTCCTAGGGTGGACCTTCCTATGTCCAGGTAGTGGCAGGAGAGCTACTACGGAGATCGATCCTCCTGGAGAAAATGGCTGCTTCAGTGGGCGGGCTCTATGGGACCACGCCCCTCCAAGGTCCCTCCCCAGGCCCCGCCCCAAAACCTCAGGGGTTCCCCCAACCTGGAGCGGGCAGCCTTAGGCCTCCCCCTTCAGAGACAGACCTGAACCATCTGCTGGAGGTGAGTCAGGATGGTGTCGAGGATATCTTTCTCGTCCAGCATCTCCACGGCGTCTCGGAGGCTTCTCCCGCGGGGCAGGATCTTGCTGTCCCAGATATATTGGAAGTTCTCATCAGCGAGTTCTTGAGGAGGCCAGGGGAGTGAGGGGGAGAGAGAAAATATTCACAGAGGGGTGAGCCGGTAGGTTGGGCTCCCCAGATCCATTCTGTTAGCTGTGCCTTCTGGTGCACAGTGCCTTCCCCGACAGAAGATCCCTTACATCAGTGGATTCAGAGGACTGACTGCTTCTGGAGGAACTCCCTTCACTCGCCATGGCCGGGTGCTGCTGACGGACCTGTCCCCCCCCCCCTTTTGCAATGGGAGGAAAGCCATCGCCCCTAGAGGAACGGAGCTGTGGGGTCCAAATCAGTTTGGGAAACTCATCTTTCCTTTTCTTTTTTGTCAAGCTAGTTGAGACCTGAAATCAGAGCCTAGAGGAGAATCGAGCATGCCAGAGATTCCAGTTTGGTGTTTAAGTGGTGAAGTGGGCGGACTCGGATCTGGGAGAACTGGGTTTGATTCCCCCACTCGTCCACTTGCAGCTGCTGGATGACCCTGGACAAGCCATAGTTCTGTCGGAGCTGTTCTTGAAAAGAGCCGTTTCTGTCAAGAGCTCTCTCAGCCCCGCCTACCTCGCAGGGTGTCTGTTGTGGGGAGGGGGAGGGAGAGGAGTCTGTAAGCTGCTCTGAGACTCTGAGGGCGAATTCTCACTAGAGCTGCCTCACAGCACAGCCGCTGTTTGCCCCGACACAAACATGTCAATTTCACACCCGAAGCTCCGGGGCTGCATTTTGACTCGGGGCTTCGCCCGATTTCCTCCGCAGTTTCGTGATCCTGGTTTTTGAGGATCATGAAACTGCAGAGGAAACCGGGCGAAGCTCTAGTGAGAAATCGCCCTGGAACTTTCTTAGAGCAGTGATAGAATTGGGTGGGGAATAAATCCAGCCTCCTCCTCCTCCTCCTCCTCCTTCTTCTTCTTCTTCTTCTTCTTCTTCTTCAGTTCTGCAGTCATCAGGTACGACCAACCTTGATTTTTCAATGTTTCTGTGATGTAACAATCACCATGGAGGAGGGGGTCTTCAGACAAAAGAAAACACCCCACCTGTCAAACATCGCCCTGCTCAGTTTGCCAGGGTTGCTGGAGGAGGGGAATTCCTTACCTTAAATGGGAGGGGAGGGAGTGTGGAGTGTGTGGCTGCACTATCTTAGAGGCGTGATTCTTCCGAAGAAGCCTTCCTCTCGCCCAGAGGAAAGTCCTTGGCCCCGTGCACACGGAGGATTTGCCGCGCGAACAGCACGAATGTCGGGCAGATTTTCGGGGCGCGATCACACCACAACAACTGGAAAACGTAGCGCACCCATGGCCAACCCGTGGCGTCCCGCTGAAGATGCGGAGTTAAAAAGTACCAAGGAAAGTGCACTAGTATCCGGAAAACACGCGGCACAGGCAGGCGTCTGATCGCGGGAGCGCTAGTATCCCGTGCCATCTGGCGCCCATCCATGTCCCGTCGCAAACTGGATGTTTTTCGTAAGTGCATGCGCACAAACACAAAACTGAAAGCAGTGCTGCTCTGCGGAACTGCCCGTGTGCACAAACGCGAAATGCTTGTGTGATCGTGCCACGCCACTTCTTTGCCACACTGCGGCATCGCCGTGTGATCGCCAGCTAACAGCCTAAACACAGAGACTCGGAGGACTGTGTGATTGGGCTACCACGCTTTATTTTGCTCCTGGGTGAACAGCCACGCCACCCCTTTGCGTTATCTGGCCTGTGTGACCGGGGCCCTTGAAAACCTTTGGTGCCAGTTTGCTTCTGTACATAATGGGACCATATATTTCCCAAGTGAAAGGAGGGTTAGAACCGCTGGAGCTAGGCGGGGCGGATGTGACGTGTGAGTGGGCCTTAGGAGGGGTTACATTTGAATTACCTTTACCTACGATTGTACCAGCCAAAATCTTCAGAACTGACGCAGTACTGTTATGACCTGAACCTTGCTTATAACTCAATAAACATATCGTTGCCAAAGAGAGTGTTGTTAAGAATAGCTTGCCGTCCTCCAAATCTCCAAGAGCTTCCCAACACAAAGTTGGCAAACCTAGGGCCTAAGGGGTATATTTGGGGAGCCAGATCAGCCTTGGTCTCACAACCGACCCCAGTATGGGGACTGATTCACACACTGCCCATTCAGGTGCACGCCTCTGGTGCTTTACGCACAGCCCCCCCAAAGCATAATGTGTGATTGGGAGAGGAGGGGGAGAACATCTGGTTGGCATGCAGAAGGCCCCAAGATGATCCCCCTGCCATTTCCAGTGAAGAAGAAGAGGAGGAGGAGGAGGAGATTGGATTTATACCCCGCCGTTCACTACCCAAAGGAGTCTCAGGTCGAATCTGCATTTGTCTTTCCCACCGGTGTCCCAGCCTTCTGGCTCCGTCATAAAAAAAAAGCTGTCTACATTTGGCTCCGTTTTCACACCTCAACAGTGCTAGCATACTTTTGCATGCCTGCATATGTTTACCGCACTCTCGCGGCGGCTCCGCTGTCATTGCGCCTCCGTACTGTTTTAAAAGAATCTTCTCCAAACAACGTTCAAACAAGCATAGAGAAAGACGGCATCACAGCAGCACGAAACTTATTTAAAAATGCAAATGTAGATTCGACCTCAGAGCGGCTTCCAACCTCCTTTCCCTTCCCCTCCCCACAACAGACACTCTGTGAGGTAGGTGGGGCTGAGAGAGCTCTTTCGAGGACTGCCCTTGAGAGGACAGCTCTGAGAGAACTTGTGACTGACCCTAGGTCACTCCAGCAGCTCCATGTGGAGGAGTGGGGAAATCAAACCCGGTTCTCCCAGATTAGAGTCCGCGCTCCCAACCACTACACCAAACTGTCTCTCAAGGACCAGGTAGCAGGTGATGCAAAAGACCACTCCATAAACCTCTGGACAGCCGCTGCCAGTTGAGTAGACAATACTGACTTGGATGGACCAAGGGTCTAACTCAGTATAAGGCACCTCCGTGTGTTCATGGCACATGTGCCAACTTGCTGTCTGCTGCCCCCTGGTGGGAGTACCCTGAGCCCACACATCTGTCAAAGCATGCAATGGCCCAGAAAGAACAACACAAAACCCGTGCCCAGTTCAGCGGCCGGCAACTCCTGGCCCTGCCCGGTACCTGCCGGTGTTGTCGATTCTCCCGAGGTATTTGGGAGTCTCTTTCTCCCTACGGGGCTGATGGTACTTTTGGTTGCCTTAACGGGCAGCCTCGGCAACGTAGTCGCCTCCTTGGCTGTCTCAGGGGGCTGCGGCTGCCTCTCTTCCGTCTTGCTAGTCGCTGGGGTGGCCTTGCTGGGTTGGCGCTGCACCAGTTCAGGCAGGACCAGGGGCGGCGGTGGGGGCGGCTTCTTCCGGGCCTCGGTGGGAGCTGAAGGAGTCGGCTTGATCAGAAGGGGCAGGAGCTGGGATGTCCTCCGGGTGGCCGGGTCTTGGGAACTGGAGGGTTGGTGGGCGAGGCTGGGGCCTTCCCGTGGATCGCTTTTCTGCTCCAAACTGGTTTCCTCGCCATCCAGGCTCTTTCTTTTCAGGAGCTGGAGCTTCTTGATGAAGGAAGTCATCCTGCAACTGAGAAATTCAGTGACTCAGTCCCAAACTAAGAGAGGAAACCAAATACAGTCAAGGAGACATCTTGAGGTTTTCTGCATTCTCCTTTCCCCGGGTCGTGTGTTCCTGCTGCTTTAGTTTTGCACCTGTTTTGCTCCCTCTAGTGGCTAATTCATTGTTACATCAGTTTACGTCTGGCCCTTCAGATTTAGGCCCTGTGTTTTGCCTCGGTTTCTTAGCATATCCTATTCTGCATTCCCACCCACTTTCACTTCCAGGTTGTGTCAGGGCTTTCTCTTGTTTCTGAATTTGTTTTACGGGAATCTGCATTCAGAGCCACTTCCAGCACACTGTTGCCCTGCAGCTACCAAAACTCCTTTTGCTGCAATTCTTTTGTTCTCATCCTCTTTTGAACCGCTAATCCTCTCTAAAGTAGAATTGTTTCTGCGGGTGTTTAAGTACTGCCCACTCCCCTGGCCCATTTCCGCCTCTCTCTCTTTAGGTTGACACTCCCTCCCCGTTCTGTTTTCTTTCCCTCCTTCTCCAAAGACAAAAGAGGATGTGTCCTCCCGCTCAGCCAAGGAGAGCATAAGAAGGAATCAGTAAGTATAATGTGTAAGTCTTGCATGTATTGGTCTGGATTTTCCCCTTCCTTCCCTTTCTTTTTGCAGAATCACAGAAGGAGGGAGGGAGAAAGGGAGGGAGAAAGGGAGGGAGGGAGGGAGGGAGAGCGAGAGATTTGCCCAAAGTTACTCAGTGAGCTTCTAGAGCAGAGTGGGGATTCAAACCTGGATCTCCCAGATCCTAGTCCAACAATCTAACCACTACCCCGTACTGGCAGAGGCCTTTGAAACCCAGATTTCTAGACTCTAGCATAGGCTACAGCCAGTCCGGTAAGACACAGGGAGGAGAAAACAAACTTGATGCAAAAACTGGAATCAAGAACCACAAGGGTAAAAAAAAAGTATAAAATAAGTATATTATTACAAAAATACATGTATTTATTAGAAAGGCACTTAAAAACAAATAAGAGTCCAATGAAAGCCTCATTACTAGGGTTGCCAAATGTACTCACCTGTGCCGGCGGGGGACTTTGTGTTGCCTCCTGGTGTGCGCGCGCGCCGCATGCACGTCACTTTCCTGTGACGTCATCACGCTGGGGCGGGGCACAGCCATTTGAGGGGAAAACATAGAGTTTTCCCCTCAAAT